GTCACAACAGTTAACGGCCAGAAATTAAGCCCATATCTTTCCCAAGTTTCTAGACTCTACTATATGAGGTATTTAGCCTCTGTACCAGTGGATCCTAACTCTGGCTCTGGACTGAAAATAACCTGGGGAGAATGTTAAACTCCCATGAACAGGATGCACGAAGATCATTTAAATCAGACTCCCCAGAGATGGGCCCCAGACATAAGTAGTTCTAAAGCTCCCCTGTGACTTCAATGCGCAATCAAGGTTCAGAACCTCTGCTCTCAAAAAGGCTTCCTTGTAATAGTAGATCTTTTTTCAGGGTGGCCTTGAAACAAAATTTTTCACATGGTTGGGGAAGAAGTCAGGGTGATCTTTTCCAGAGGCAAAAGAACACTTAATGCCCTTAAGAGTCACGATTGCATCCCAGCTCTGTAGCTAACTCCACCTGCAGAGGGGTCTCACAGGCTCACGTCTTCTACCTTTCGGTGCAGGTAGACACTCCTGTTCCTGTTTATATTGGCCTTCTCAAGCACAAGTTGTTACTGCACACACACCCATCCACATAGTTTTGTAGGCATTTCTTATCTCTCTCTGACCCATGCCTTCCTTTCCAACAACAGCTGCCGGCCCCCAGCCATAGTCTTGGCTGGAGCCCCATGCTCTCAGGAGCCAGAGGGAGGTGATGCTGGGTGCTGCCTGGGCACAGCAGGCAGAGGCAGTGTGGCACCACCCTCCAGTGTCACTCAGCCTCCCCTAGTGCCTGGCATGGAAATCCCACAACTTCCATCATATCATCCCAGTGCCTGGGCAGAACAGCCCACATTCCGCACAAAAATTCCTATTGGTATCACATTCCAATGTCCCCACCTCTTCTTCCCAGTAGCAGAATGCTATAATAGGAGAGCACTGCACTGAGGATTTATACATTTCATCTTATATGGTCACCACAACTACACAGGGAGGCAGTCTGTTGCCCTTCTTATAGATGAAGAGTCGGGGACCCAGCTATCAATGGCTGAGCTGGGATTTGAATCACATCCATCTGACTCTAGAGGGTTAACTTCCCCTTCAAATTTATCTTTGCCTTCCTCAGCCCTTTCCAGCTTGGGCTCCCCCACCTTCTAAACTCTCCTGATTTTTACCCAATCTCATGCACTCCTCAGCAACCTTTCACTCATCCCATTATTGTCGATGCTGCACCTAACTTTCCTTTATCCTCACTCACGACAGAGGACCTCTGCCACATCAAGAAAACAGACCTCACCAAAGGCCTTTCCCTTACTTCTCCTGCAGCTCACATTATTGCCCACATCTGTCTCAGAGAAGGAGCCGCCTTTCTCCTCCCCACCTCCGCTCGATCCTCCACCCAGCAGCCTAACCACCATCCCCATTGTTCCATGAAGCCGCTTTCTCAAAAACTCATTTCAGAGTCTCCTTCAGGCTTTTCAGCAGCTCTTCTATTCTCCCATCCATGACCCTCTACCTGCCCAGCCATCTACCCTTCCCTCCATCTGCTTTTTAAACCTTGAGGTTTCCCAGGATCTTGTCCTGAGTTCTCTTTGTCCTCATATCTTGTGCCTAGACAACCACATCCACTCCCAAGCCTTTAGCTATTAACTTCATGTTGCTTGTCAGGCCTCGACCTGTCTGAGCCCCAGGGCCTGATTTCCAGCTGCCACTCAGAGACATCTGGATGTGATATCTTGTAGGAACCTCAGTTCCAAAGCTAGGAGTCTCTCCCATTCCTCCAGAGCTGTTGTCCCTCCTGAGTTCCCTGACTTGAATGACATTCTCACAACCCCAACAGGAAGCTGGATACCATCATTGTCTCTTCCTACTCCATCTCCCAACAACTTGCATCCAAACTCTATCCTAACTCAGCCATGTCTTGAATTTGTCCTCTCCACCCTATCTCCTCCCCCCACATCTGGGATCGGGACCCACTTTGGTTCAGCTGAAGTGTTACAGCTCCCTCCTCACTCTTCCCCTGCCTTAGAGTCTTATCCCACCCCAGCTCCCTTTCCACACAGTAGCCAGAGTGATAGCTTTGTAAAGAAGACCTGTCTTAGACCTTCTCTTCTTCCATGACTTCCTCTACTGATTCGATCAAGCTTCATTCATGTCAAAGCCCTTAACCATGTTACCAGCTGCTTCTTCATGCCCTGGCCATTCAGTCCTTGCTCCTGCTGTTCCTCAAACACGAATGCCTTTTTATACACTGGCCATTGCTTGTGTTCTACTGTATTTGGCCACCTATCTGTATTCTTCTCTTTCTCAATCATTTTTCAGGTACTATTGCTAAAGAAAAGTTATTTCCCAGTGACCATAGAAGGGCAACTGTTTCCGGTGGCTCTGTTAAATCCTATTACACAAAGAAGGTCCTCACACAAGGCAACAAACATGGGGTTCGTGAGGCACCAGATGGGAGTCAGTGTAAGATTTATTGAGGCACTGTCAGGGTAGAAAGAAGCAGTCCTAGCCCCATTCCTCACTTCCAGAGCAGCTTTCCTTCTGGGTTCTTGATGTCATTGTCCCCACCACCTGCAAACTCTGACAGAGATAGGGAATGACTTCAAAGACTCTTTCAAAATGAGAAATAGGGCATGTAGAAAACAATCGGCAATTTTTTAAATGGATCAGTTAGGGTTCTTTGAGTTCACAGTACTCTGACTTTGCAAGACTAATTCGATGCTAAAAAGAATCCTGAAAGTCTAAGAGAATATGGTTCCTGAAAGGGAGGCTGGTGGGGGTGGGGGAATAAAGAGAGAAGTATCTTACTTGAGTTTCGATTAAAGGGGTACTCCAGGGTGCTCCAGGCTGAGCTCTGTGAGCCCAGGGTGGCCCTGACGCGGAGGTTATATGGCACGGTTGCAGTGATGTCATCAGTGATGTCGCACTCAGGATCTTTGGTGGGTGAGCAACAGTTGCTGGGAATCCAGATGTGGCTCACGTACAGGGTCTCATACTCTCTGGCCAAGGAGAGAAAAGCACAGCATCACAACTGCCCCTTCTACCCAGGCTCAATGATGGTTGCAAGTAACTGCCTCATTCACCTACATTTTATGGGTCAGCAAAATAAGCAGTTGCTCCATACTCCAGTTCCTACACTCTTCTCTGTGACCAACCATCCATTCTTTCTTATTCCTTTTGTCACCAGACAAAGGAAACTTAGGCATAAACCCCAGTGTATCCAGGTCTCTCCATCTCCAGGGTCACCATCCCAATCTCAGCCACTGCCATCCCTTGCACTGCTATCACCTCCTGATTTCCCAGCTTCCACTCCTAATGTTCTTCAAACCATTCAGCAAATCACAACATTTGTATCCCTAATGGCTTCCAAAGCACTTAGAAGGGAAGCCAAACTCTTCCCCATGGCCTACGACTCTCTGGCCTCTCTCTCACTCCACCCCTATACATGCTGTTTCTTCTGCACTGACCTCCACGCTGAGCTCTTTTTATCTTAGGAGCTCTGACTAGCTATTAGTCACTGTGTCTCAAATGCTCTGCCCCTGCTGTTTACATTAGCTGGTTCCTGTCCCTCAGATATGGGCTTAAATATCACTTCCTCAGACAGATCTTCCCTGACCACCTAATGAAAGGAAGCCAGAGTCAACTCTACTGCATCAGCCTTTTAGCTTTCTCCTAGCACTGATTACTACCTGAAATTACCTAGAGCAGTGCTGCCCAGTAGAACTTTCTGAGATGATGGAAATGTTCTATATTGGTGCTATTCCTATGGTAGCTACAACCACATGTGGCTGTTGAGAACTTGAAATGTGACTAGTGTGGCTGGGACACAGACATTTTTTCATTTTAATTAATTTAAATTTAAATGGCTATCTATTTCTAGTGGCTGCCACACTGGACAGTGTAGACCTAGGTTTTTTATTTTCTTTACTGTCGGTCTCCTTCTCTAAATGTAAGCTCCTTATATCCAGAACTTTGTTGACTGGACCCTGAGCCTAGAAGAATGTCTACCCATGTAGGTGCTGAGTTCGTATTTATTGTTAATAAAATATATTGAGCACCTTCTATGTCCCTGTTGCTCCTCAATGATTCCAAGGGCCTGAACACCTGCAGAGGAGTAGAGCCTGCTTGGCCCCAGGGCCAGCTGACCCTGAGGGTCACAATTTGTTTTAGCTCCTAATGACAAGAACATAGACAGAAAAACTAAGGCCTCCCTCACTTCCAAAGGATCTGAGTCTCCAATAACTTATCCTCTTCAAGTCAGAATCAAACTCATTTCTTGAGATTTTCTTCAGCATTAGACAGTTGACTCACTGTTGAAAAGAAGCTCCATCAAAATGTGTTTATACACATTTGGGTTCCCAGAGAGTTCATATCCTCAGGACAATATCCCTTGCTTTTTCAACTCTCCCAATGTCCACGCAAAAAAGGCAGGTCACTGGAGATAATCCATCCGTGGGCTCACAAAGCCTCCTTGAGCTCTGGAATGAGGGCTGTGCCTCTAGCAATCAACTACTGTCTAAGAGAGAAAAACTGAAAGAAAGAAAAAAAAAACTCACCCCTGGTACTCCACAGAATAGTCGATTACTTCTCCAGGCACAGTCACTGGGTTCCACATCAAAAGATGCTTCATGTTGGTTGACTGTACAGAGAGGTTCTGAGGGGCAGGCAGAATGGCGACTCCATCTGGGATCAAGGCAGATAGACAGGCTGACAGGTGGGCTTATGTTAAGGAAATGCCACAGCTTTAAATTAGTTCCTAATGAAAGTCTTCGTATATTTATGAAGAAGAAACACCTCTAATTTCATCATACTTGTATCAATGCTAAATTTTTTCTATCTCTATTATAGTGATAGAAAATTATAATTTTCTATTATAATGATGAAATATTTTATTATTATATAATTTGGTGAAATATTATTATTAATAATTTTAATAATAATAATGGCTAATATTATTGAGCGTTTACCATGTTCTAGCTACACCATGTGTTAGATTGTTACATGATTATCTCACTTAATCCTCATGACCATACTGGGAGGTAAGGACTATTAGTTTCTCCATTGCACAAATGGCAAATCTGAGGCACGTTGTTTACAACTCTTACGTCAGTCAAATCAACCTCGATGTGGGTCTTGAAGCTGCCACTTATGATGTGACCTTAAGCAAGTTGCAAAAACCTAAGCCTCCCATCTCTATGTGATAAACCTATGCAGGCTCCTGCCACCTTCTCATCACCTTCTTCTCCTACTACTGCTATCTAAATTGCACCCCTTCATGTCCCCCAACAAGACTGAATGGTGCATCAGCTGCCAGCTGGGAGGTGGAGAATGTCCAGTCTAGAAAGGCACCAAACCAGCTTGGACACTCTGCCTCAGGTAGACTGCAGGCCCCTGAGGCAGCCTGGGACACAAGCATCTGTTCATACAGGTGTATGTGGTACGCCCAGAGTATGTACACAGTTGGTATACAGTTTGCACACAGAATGAAAAGGCTTGGGAAGCTGAACCTATATACTCATAAGGACTTTGGGCATGCCCAGGTCTCAACCTTGTGTGTAACCCAGGGTGCAATGTGGACCCTCTGCTATGGTCCTTCTCTTCCCAGTTTCAAATGCTCTCCTTTTCAAGCCCAACACCTGCCACTCTTTGCTCAGTGATAACATCTGAGGGCACAGTGGGAAGGGGGAGGGAGGCCTTCACCCAGAACTTTTTCTCGATGCCTGTCTCCAGATTGGCACCTGTTGTTCGTTATCAAGCCCTGTGACCACAAGGGGATAGGAGTTGTCGGGGACACCCCACCTGGTTCCCTCGCTTCTTCTCTAATATAGGACCTTAGTGATGCATCTCCATCCTACTCTCAGCATCAGTGGCCCTGCCCTGTGAGGAAACACCTGGGGTACCCACAAGGGGGGCTTCCTGTCCTTCCCACCCTTAACCTTGCAATCACCCAAGGGATGAAAAGAGAAGAGCCAGCTGCAGTAGGCTGGCACGGTAGGGCAAGGCATCATCCTCTCTAACGTCCTTCCTCAGGCAAAGTATACAAAACATTTCTCTAGTCAGCTATGTGGGGAATATAAAACTATAATTCATAATGTAATAGCTCTGAAAATGAAATCTCCAGGCCCATGGAGATTTCTACTAAATACTTTTTTAATTAACACCAATTTTACACAATCTCTTCCAAAAAAAATAGAAGAGGAAAGAACACTTTCCAACTTATTTTATGAGGCAATATTACCCTAATACCCTAATTAAACAAAGGTAGTATATATATTTTAAAAAACAAAACGAAACAAAATACTAGAGACCAATATATCTCATGCACTTAGATGCAAAAATTATCAATAAAATATTAGCAATCCAAATCCAATAATGCATAAAAAGGATTCTACACCATGACCAAGTGAAATTTATTCCAGGTATGCAAATGTGGTTCAACATTTGAAAATCAGTTAATAATCTACCGTATCAACATGCTAAAGAAGAAAAATCATACGATCACATTAATTGAAACATAAAAAGCATTTACATAATTCGACAACCATTTATGATTTTCAAAAAAATTCTCTTCAAGTTAAGAACAGCAGGGAGTTATCTCAACTTGAGAAAGACCATTTACAAAAAATCTACAGCTAATATCTCACTTAATGTTGAAAGACTGAATGCTTTCTACTTTAACATCGGAAATAAAGAAAGAACTTCCGCTGTCAGCACTTTTTATCAACATAGTACTGGAAGGTCTAGCAACTGCAATAAGGCAAACAAAACAAGTAAAAGCATACAAATTGGAATGGAAGTAAGAAAACTCCCCCTATTTGCAGATGACGATATGGCTATGTAGAAAATTCCAAAGAATCTATAAAATAAAACCCCTAAAACTAATAAGTGAGTTCAGCAAGTTCATAGGATATAAGATAAACATAAAAAATTAATTGTATTTCTATATACTAGCAATGAACACTTAAACATTAAAAATAAAAATACAGTTGTCCTTTGGTATGTGTGGGGGATTGATTTCAGGACTCCTTCGGGTACTATACTCCTTGGATGCTCAAGTCCCTTATATAAAACGGCATATCATTGGCATATAACCTATATACATCCTCCCGTAAATTTTAAATCATGTCTACATTACTTACAATACCTAATATAATGTAAATGTATTTAAGTAGTTGTTATAATGTATTGTTTAGGGAATAATGACAGGAAAAATAAGCTTGTACATACATGTTCAATAGAGACACAATCGTAATAGGGCTAACTAAATACTACACATCAGCAATAATTATCGGCAATAATTGAATATTTTCAATCCATGATTAGTTGAATCCACAGACACAGAATCAGTGGATACAGAAGGCTGACTGTGCTATTTACAACCACTTGAAAAAAGGAAGGAAAGAAGGAAGGAAGGAAGGAAGGAAGGAAGGAAGGAAGGAAGGAAGGAAGGAGGGAAGGAGGGAAGGAAGGAAGGAGGGAAGGAGGGAAGGAAGGAGGGAAGGAGGGAAGGAGGGAAGGAGGGAAGGAGGGAAGGAAGGAAGGAAAAGGAAAGGGGAAAAATAGAAGTACTGAAGAAAGGAGGAAGGAAGGAAAGAAGGAAGGAAGGAAGGAAGGAAGGAAGGAAGGAAGGAAGGAAGGAAGGAAGGAAGGAAGAAAGATACTTAGGTATAAATCTAGCAAAATATATTTAGAATTTGTATGGGGGAAACTCCACAATGCTGGTGGAAGATATCAAAGGAGATCTAAAAAACAAAAGGAGAGACATACCGTATTCATGAATTGGAAGATTCAACATAGTTAACATAGTAATTCTCCCCAAATTGATATACAGACTTAATACAATTTCTATCAAAAGTTCAGCAAGATTTTTTGTAGATGTCAGCACCAAGCTGATCGAGAAGGGAAAGTTTCAGTGGTTAGATGCCCAGTTGGAAGAATGCACGAGGGGCCAACATGAGAATGAAAAAGCAGGCACCAACTTATTGTGGGGAGCGCACTTCTGCTTCTACACTGCTTCTGCTCCCCTTCTCGTGTTCCCCTTCTGCTCCACAGGGGACCACATGGCTCCACTTATATCAGAACACAATAGTGGCATTCAGCCACACATGCGTGATACAATAAGCTGAATTATGTTTACATATTTTAGGCGCAGGTGCCCTACTACACTAATGTAATATTCTAAATCCAGGGTGCTATTCCTAGCCACAAGCCTAGATCACAGCCAGACCTGGGACCAGCCAGGCCTGGGACACACAGTAGACTTAGACAAAAATTTTCTAAAATTTTTAGGAAAAGGCAAAGGAGCTAGAATAACTAAAACAATTTTTTAAAAGCATAGAGTGGAGGTAATCAAACTACCCAATTTTAAGACTTAGAATAATTAAGATTGTGTAGTATTCACAAAGCAATAGACACATAGATTGATGAAATAGAATACAGATCTCAGAAAAAGAACCATACAAATACACTCAACCGATTTTTGGTAAATGTACAAAAGCAATTCAGTGAAGGAAAAATAGCCTTTTCAACAAGTAATACTAGATCAACTGGACATCTGCAGGCAAAAAAAAAAAAAAAAGAGCCCAAGCTTAATCTCACGCCTTACGCAAAAATTAACTCAAAATGGATCATAGACTTAATGTAAAACTCTAAAACTTTTAGGAAAAAACATAAGAGAAAATCTTCAGGATTAGGCAAAGAGTCCTCAGAGTTGACGTCAAAAGCAAGATCTATGAAAGGAATATTTTATAATTGGACATCGTCAAAATTAAAATCTTTTGCTCTGCAAAAGACCCTGTTAAGAAGATGAGAAGACAAACTACAGAATGGGAGAAAATATTTGCAAAGTATATAGCTCACAAAAAATTCATATCTAGAATATATAAAGAACTCTCAAAACCGAATAGTAGAAAAGCAAACAATCCAATTTAAAAATGGGCAAAAAACATTCAGAAATATTTTACCAAAGAGCACATACAGATTGCAAATAAACACGTGAGAAGATGTTCAACATCATTAGCAAATTAAAACAACAACATGATAGCCCTATACAGGTATCTGAATAACTAAAATTTTTAAAAGTGACAAAAGCGAGGATGCAGAGAAAGCGAATCACTCATACATTGCTGGTGGGAATGTAAAATGGTACAGCCGCTCTGGAAAATAGACAGTTTCTTATAAAATTAAATATGTAATTACTATTCGACTCAGCAATTTTACTGTTGGGCATTTATCCCAAAGAAATGAAAACTTACATCATCCAAGATCTTCACACAAATATCCATAGCCAAACTGGAATCAGACCAGATATCCTTCGACAGGTGAATGGTTAAACGAACTTTGGTACATACATCCATGGAACACCACTCAGCAATAAAAGGAACAAACTATTGATACACACAACAATTTGGGTGAATCTCCAGGGAATTATGTTGAGTGAAAAAAAAAAAAAAGCCACTCCCTGAAAGTTACATACTGTATGATATTTATAAAACATTTTAGAAATGACAATATTTTAGAAATGGAGAACAGATTATTGGTTGTCAAGGATTAGGAAAGGTGAGGAAATGGAGGGGGGAGGTGAGCGTGGTTATAAAACGGAAAGTATTGTCGTGATGTTGGAACCGCTCAGTATCTTGACTGTAGTGGTGAACACACAAACCTAAACACACACGTGTATATGC